TAACTGAATAAAAATTAACTACTTGGAATTCCTGCTAGAATTTTGCCCCTAATTGCCTGCTATCACTTGGGAACTCTCAAATGTCACTATTTAGAAGGTCCTAGGAATTCATTCTTTAATTTGCTCCCATCTGGGTAATGTGAACCCTTCTGTAAATAATTGATATAAAGACCAATAAAACCAGTTGGTGATAGTCTATTAGCTTTACTGGATTTGGAATGAGCCAGAGAGGTAGGCTTAGCTTCAAATGGACAACTGGAGAAGGGCCTTGCTAATGCCAAGTCTTTAGTGTGATTAGAGCATTGTGCTGAGAAACTGGAGATGCAGGTTCAAACCCCCTTTCCCTCCTAGGTGAAAAGTCTCTATAAACCTGAGCCACTCAGCTACTGGTGGTAGATATAGGAAGGTGCTCTCCTCCTTCCTAACCTGGGAACTTAAACATATATATCACTGTACCTACCGAGACAATGTATCACTTACTGAACATGTTCCAAAGAAGATTGCATGCCAACAAATTCAAACTACACAGATAATAGAATTGCAAACTGTAAGCAAGTCCTGGAGCCCTTTAATCTGACACCAGCAACAGTTTATTTCTAGGATCAGAAACACAAACTATAATACCTTGGGTTCTCCTGCTTCCCAGGAGCTAGACAAAAAGCATACAATCCACATGAACACACCTATAGCATGTTCCCAGCAACACAAGCTTCAAATCCCCAAATTAATCTCCATCACAAGGCACAGAGATGCTAATACAAAACAATTCCAAAATAAACAATCCCAGTCAAGGCTAGTGCTCACCCATGCATCTTCATTTAAGGAATTCTCTCTTCATGCACACATTCTTCCTACCAAATCCTCCTCCCCACTTCCTTTTCCTGGTTAGCCAATCAACTTTTCTTCATTACTTATTAACCTGAGCCAGAGGCTGCAGGTGGCCTGTTACCACCTGGCTAATTGCCCCAGGCTGCCTGCCTGCAGCCTGTTACATATGTGTTTGGAAAATTACCATTTAGGCACCTAAAGTGTAATAGTATTTCACCCCTACACTTTAAAACAGACATGGGCCCTAGAGAAACACATAAGTCTTTTTTTTTTATTTATTTTGTGAAAATGAAAGCTGGAGACAATTATTTTAATATTCTTGTGACAGCTATTTACAATTGTTTCAGCCATACAAGTGAAAACTGTGGGCTTAAAGAAACTAGAGGACCACACTAGAGTAGAATGAGATTCCAATGCAGGGCATACCTAAAAGAGTTTTCTGTGTCAAACAAGAACAGCCTAAATGTATCATAAAAATCATAGATATCTACATGTGCATGTTACTGCAGAGCTGACTAATTAGCTCTGCAGTAAAGCATCACTGGGCACATCTACATGAGACACTGTGTCACCCTAGCAATGAGCTACTGTGCCATAGCTAATTGCTACCATGATGTAGCATCTTCAGGCATGGACAGTGATGGTGCAGTACCTTGTTGCTACTGTGCAGTACCAGCTAAAAATAATTGTGTGGTGGCAGGACTGTGCAGTAAAGCCAGTAACTGTGCAGTTATTTAGTACTTGCTTAAGCAAAAGTTGGCTTAAGCAAGTACTAAATAACTGCACAGTAACAGCTGCACAGTCCGGTGAATGTGTAAATGTGCCCACTGTCTACATGAATGCTGGTATCAAAATGAAGTAGATGAATTAACTGCACCATAAGATAGTTCTATTGGAGACAATACAGTGGAGTAATTAACTTCACCAAAATGCTTGTGTAGATGATGACCAGGGCTGGCTGGGACATGAGAGTGCAAAAGTGTGGGGGCTGCCTGCAGCCTAGCCCCACACTTTAGTGCCTTCGTGCCCCAGCCAGCCCCTCCAATACCCAACCCCAGCATTTGTGGCCTGAGGATGACCTTCCAACCCCCCTGCCAGTCTGGAGCTGCTCCACCCTGTCTCTGTCCTGGGTGCATGTGAAGACACTTCACCTGGAAGCAGCTGACTCAGGCACAAACTGTGCCAGAGTTTCTCTCTGCAAATTAATTGAACATGTAGATCCATCAGTGAGATTAAAAGTTGGCAAGCCCAAACCAATCATGTGTGTTATTAATGTACTATCTAATGTGATAGTTAATATCCCCAATAACTTCTACATTCATGCCTAAAGACACCCTTGTATGCATGCAATTTGTCACAATAACAACAAATACCAAACACAGACTGAATGATGCAAGAAGAATATTTTCCTGAAAGGTCAAATAAGAAGCTAAAGGCTGATTAATCCTTTATGTCAGCCTTCTAAAATCAATGGACTCGAGCAGCTGGAGCAGGGGGGATAGTTATACAATGTGACACTTGGATCAATCTGCAAAGATTTACAAAATCACAATTACTAGTGACAATTCATTCAAATGGTGAGTCCACGCATTCATTTATCTGTAAGTTACTTATACTCCTAAAGTCTAACACTAGTTGGGAAAAAAAATCCAGAAAAATCAAATTAAGTTTTAAAAAATCCATTAATTTTCCCCTTACTCTCTTTACTAGTTAAGTTTAACGTACATAGATACTTACAAATCTAGTTATAGTTTACAATATATGTATAGGACACATTTTTCACAAGTTAGTAATTAAGTTGTAACTGCTGCAACACAAAGAGCCATTTTTCATGTTACACTTGCTATGTGTTAAATGCACTTAAAACAGAAGCGATCACACATCAACACAGTAAAACAGGTCATAAGTGTGCTTGCATTGTAGCAAAGTTCTAACTTTTTCCATGAGGGTTATCCCCAGATTGTATTAAGTAACACATGTTCAGCTATCATTGGACTGCTCCATGGTGATAATATGAGAAATGTGTTGTCTTCTGGCATCCCAGGATGCAATGCTCCAAGCATCCATACGCCTGCTATTCTAGGGAGTCAAAGGCCAGTCTAGCCACCCACCCAAACTCTGCTGCCCAAGAAGGTAGAACCAGGCCACATTCGGGCAGTACTAGCCTGAAGTTGACATCCCCACCCAGCTCTAGCAGGTGATACCCCAACCCGCATGGCACTACCTCAAACAACCCATTGACACCCTGAGGTTCACTGACATCCACAACTTTTGCTCAAATGGTACAGCATGAAGCTAACAATCAGCTAGCTTCACAAATAAAACTGGATCATAGATTCATCGATTCATAGATTGTTAGGGGCTGGAAGGGACCTCACAAGATCATTGGGTCCAACCTCCCTGCACTAGACAGGAACCCCAGCAAGGTGACCGTCCAGCAAGGTGACCGTCCAGTCTCTTCTTGAAGATTTCCAGGGTAGGTAATTGCACCACCTCTGGAAGGAGTTTATTCCACAGTCTAGACACCCTGACTGTAAAGATGTTTTTGCTATAGTTGAGCCTGAAGTGGTCTTCCAGGATTTTGTGGCCATTACTCCTAGTTTTTTCCCAAGGGAGCCCTGGTGAACAGTTGTTCACTGAGCTCTTGATGTGTTCCCCTGATGTAGCAGTAAGATGCTACCAAATCCCCTCTTAGCTTTTTCTTTTTTAGACTGAAGAGGTCCAGGTCCCCCAGCCTCTCCTCATATGGTCTACCTTGCAAGTCTCTGATCATATGGGTGGCTATTCTCTGAATTCTCTCAAGTTTTTCCATGTCCTTGTTGAAGTGGGGCACCCAAAACTGGACCAGAGAATACCTTCCTCATATCTCAGCAGCCACGCCTTGAACTAGAGTCATTGTGATGCGTTGAACTTCATCACAATCTGGGGCACAGAGAGAACCATTGTCATCACCATTAAGGGCAAGAAAGGCAGGCAGCAACACCAGGCAGGCTGTAAGCATATCATAGCCTACATGGTGGCTCAAGAGCTCCAGTGGGACTGGTGACAGGTCTGAATTAAAATCAAGCCTATGAAGTAGCAAAACATTTTAGGGAAGGACACCAGCAAGATCTTGTTCAAGGACTATATTCCTCTTTTATGTGAAGATGTCCTGGATTCTTGAGGAAGACCATGCTATTACTCCCCACCACACCATGTACTGCATAATCATGGGTCCAGTATGTTGGCTTAGAAACGGTTTTTAAAGGTCTGTTTTTTAGGAATTGGCTTATAGGTATAGATATATGCATTATAAGGGTTCAATATGGGCAGCAGGGGTTAATTGATTTGTAAGAGCCTGAGGTTCACACACAGAGTTCCATATACCCCTGGAAGCAGACAGGCTATCTAGCGTGACAAGGTCAATGGATAGACACAGCCTGAGAATTGAGGGGGGCATCCCATAACATGAGATCATAGCTTTCAAGGCAGACAGGTCTAACACAACAAGGACACAAAGCCTGAGAACTGAGGAAGTATGTACTGTACTGCCCGTAACACAAGATAAGTGACACCAGCTACAAGGCCCCAGAGCAGTGGGGAGGCCTGGGTCCCAGTTTTGGGGGAACAGACCAAATTAGGAAAAGGGCCGGAGGGCTATGTGGATGTGTGACCACACAGCGGAACCAACCAGAGATAGCCACGAATGTAGAGTCATCAGGAGTCATCAAGAGAGAAGGAGAATACAAAAGCAGAGACTTGGGAGTAACAAGGGTCCCTGTACCTCCTTCTCTTCCTTCCTGTCCCCGCTTCTCTTCATTTCTGCCCCAGTCCCCGCCCCCCCCCACCCGGGTTCCACCTGCTTCCTGAGAGGGGTCCCTATCCCCATCCCTGTCCCCTGGGAAGGGTCTCCAAGGCCATCATGGACCAATGGCATACCAGCAACCCATCTCATGCACCCCACTGGAGGCGGGTTGTGGGCCTTGGCATCCCATCTCCAGAATACTGACATGCCATGCTGACATGCTGACATCTGACACCTAAGAGAGCCTCAGAGTGGAGTCTGCATCCTGACCAGATGTACTTTGACTCTGATGACAGCCCTAGGATTTGGTAGATATATAGAATTGCTTTATTGTTTGTATTGATTTTTTCTGTTATGACTGTGTATCAATAAATTTGCCTATTATCAAGTGGAAAGGTTGTGGTCGGTCTGAAGGTGGGTTCCCCTGCCCTTAACAAGGTATCTGGATCCTAAATCCTAAATCCAGAGCCAAGATAGTGCAGCATGATAATGATCAGAACAAAAACATCAATGGAGTCGCCTCTCTGACATTTGCTACCAAAATGGCCATGAAGGAGCATGAGGATGTCTGCTCCTTGGACTTATTCCCCAGCCAGGCCCTGACCCAGCCCTAGCTCCAGCCCTAACCCCTACACACACAAGATGGGGAAAGCTTGGATGAGACCCTCATAGAACAGAAGAAAATTGACAATGCTGCACCAGCTACTGGTAATTTTTAGCAACTCTAAGGGAAATGTTGACTAGTGGTGTGTTCAGGGTTCTGGAGCTATGGGTCTGGCTCATGGCTTAGGAGTGATTCAGTGCTCTGGAGTGCCTCATGGCTTGGGGATGCTTCTGGGCTCTGGAAGTGGCAAATGGTTTGGGGAAGTGGCTAGATATCAGATGGCAATAGCTGCAGATTGCCTCCCATCCTTGCAATTTACTGAGGGAGTGGGGGGTGGCATTGTGTATGGGACTATGAAGAGGAGATGACAGTAGGTGGCCATGTTAGGGGCATGGTAATTGTGCATGGGCCAATGGCCCAATTACACCTTGATAGGTCAGTTACAATGCATTGCCTGAAAACAGCAATGACAGTTGTGCATGAATTGTGTGATGCCATACTTGAGGAACTAGGTCCTCAGTTCATCCATGTTGGGTGGTCAAGCCAGGAACATATTCAGGAACTCTATTTTCCTGTAGAAGATGGAGCAGGGTAGTTTCGCCCCAGGCACTCCCAATATGGATTTGGGTGGGGTGCCCTTACCTTCCTTAATCATCACAT